CCATATCAGGTTTTAGTATGACCGCCTTTTATTTTCTTCCGTGCATTATCTGACTCAGCAAACATCGCACGTTAAAGAAGCCTATCAGGTGACATGTGTGGCACATGCTCCGTCAAAGCAATATATAAAAGTTTAGAAAATGATCCAGTGCGTCATCACGATCGCCTAAGCGCGACCAACGTACATTTGAGGATCGAAGAGTAATTTATTTTAACAATTTTTATTTCGAACCAAAGGATACTGACGAATAAAAGAGGTGAAAACCACAGTCCTGTGAAAGTGACTGGCAACCTAATCGCGGGATAGGTGAAGCACGTTAGATCCCCNTAGGATAGTAAGTACGGTACTGGGCAGAACGAAAACGAAGGTGTCTTTCTTAACATTAAAATTTAATGAGCAATAGACGTAATCGAGTGAGTTAAAGAAGCCGCTAACACGTCTTCGTGGCCTATTTGGTAACGTTGAAGGAGGTCAATACTGTGTATTTTAACAAACAGAAAATGATATAGCATTTAAGTGAAATTCACTGCTCAGTGTTCTATTATACAAAATATTTAGTGACATGAATCGGCAGACACAGAAAGCAGAAGTCAAAATTGTTTCTTAACCCCACCCCACACAGAAGTTAAAAACTCGATACGAGCCGTGGAAGGCCATTCTAAACTGGAAATGGTTCGTCCACTAAAGAACCATTCTGTGCATAGAAATATATGAAATTCATCGATGTTCAGGCAAATTATCGCATTGACGACGAAAAATAAGAACTTCTTTTCAGTCGTGATATTGTTCCTGCTAGTCACTACACGTGTGCGGAGGGGCTCATACACGTCTACCAGTAATCGGAGATATATTTCGTACAATCCAACACCACATAGGACCATTAAAATAGTGAACAACTCAGGTACCGCTTGATATCAGTAACCCAAAAGAACTTTGTGCGTGCGGTTCGTCACCCCGAATTCCATGGCGGTGAACTTGCCGGATATTCTTAGAATTCACATAACATTTGACAGTGATGACGGTCGAGTGGTTAACGACGATGCCACTAACTAACACCAGCTTTTAAGCTTCAAAGACCAATCTCGGATGATGCCATCCAACTTTGGCATTGCCCAACTCAATATCATTCACATCTTATCATAAGGTAAACTATTATGGACTTGATATCTTTCTTACAACTTCATTTGACTATTATGTACCAAAAGGTGGTTCACATTACAAAATAGCTGCATCATGCACGACCCCAGTTTGTCCTCAACTCCCAACCGGAAACGCAGCGAGCACGATGACCATCGATACCTTATGCGTTCATGTTTCTGGATACGCCAAGCTTTCGTTAGAATCTAACTGATTTGTATACGCAATTTTACCATAGATCTGTGGAAACTTCCTTAACTAAAAATATCATTTTCGATTAGGCATAACACCTGTCCGCGATTTCTCATCGTCCGCAATGGGTTATGGAATCAACTCTCACGAATAGACGAAGTGATATTCAAGTATTGAATAACACAGTATATCAGACTACTATGACTGACCTGCGTGGTCACTTTCAGCATAGTGCTCGAGGGAAATGGAGTAACCCGAACTGTTTGGCTTTTTTCGGTTAAGTGTGGAGAGGGGGTGTTATAATGTTTGAATAGTACACTGTCCTTCGGTCACACTGAATCACTTCATCTTGCATCGCTCAAACAGGTTAATAACGTACCAATTTTATGTACATAGACATAATTTTGTGCCATTTTCAGCTAGGCAGTAATTGAGAAAGTTCGTTTCGTTGTATCTCAGTACATGACGAAAATGATGCCCTGTTGCGCAATGATGAGTCCTGGTGTGCTGAATCAGAATGCGTTACCAGCTTTACCCAGTATCAATGCATACTGATACAACTGTCAGATCACAACGATTAGGAAAAGATTAGAGCACTTAGACCATTATGCACGATGAAACGAAAGGATTAGAACAATAACCAAACAGAAGTATTGTAAGAAATAAAAGTATGCTACTTCCCGTGACATTTCTCATAGATAATTATCAAAAAAGGTTGAACTCAGACTGATATAGTAGAAGACAAATAAAGGCGACTGCATCAAGCAACAATAACCATTAAAAAGTCATTTCAGATGGAATATAGTTTATGACAATGGTTTTGGATTAACTCTATGGATTTTTCTATATATCCTGTGGACGCGTGAACTGCCAGGCATTCGTGAAAAACTGGGTGTGACCGTGTGATCAATTGGTCGAAAAGCTTACTGGGAACGTGACCGGGAACGACCGAAATTTGTCATGATGAGGACAAGAGTGTGAGAGCGAGAGAGACACTTGAGTGGTTGGAATAGTGTGAATAATGAAACGAAGGTATATTGCAGATGGACGAAAGAAGATAGAGGTCAGCGATACGGTTTATTAGGAAGCGGCGGCCTTAAACGAGAAACACCAAGGTTATCGAACGATCTGCCAGTCTAGATAACCTACGTAGTTCATTGTGTCATATGCACTGGACTTATGCTGCCTCTTTTTCAGCCTAACCTTACTTTTCCGTTGAAAAAGCCTTGTGTCCCAAAATAATCATTATTTAATTTGACTAGGCAAGATAAGCATGATTGTGTTCAATAGAAGTTCAACTGATTCCCAATGCTTTTAAGGCGATCTGGCTCATGGTGTGGCAAGCATGCTTTCAGGTAAAGCACTATCGTCGAATCGAACTGAATCAAATGGGATCAAGGATCAGTGTTGTCATCTCGACTGCGTCCAGGATGCCCTGATCGTCACGGTCACCAGCCCAATTAACTTACTGGGCGACCGGAATGTGTGAATCATGTATCAAGGATAAGATCCGAATGATTGTTTCGCAGTTTCAACGATCTGAGGTCTTTATATGCCAACCAATAGTTTTTTGAAGGTTAAGCTTATGGAACCCTAATGAAATCATGTTTTAGTTAAAGCAATCTGTCACGAAGACACCCATGGAAATATCATGGACTGTTTTTTCTTCTTCATCAAGAGGCTTTTATCATACTTTTCTTGACAGTCTGACCCGGCAAAGCGTTGAATCTGAAACATTGAATTAGTGAAAGAAAAAATGTCGCAAAAGCAAATTTGATTAGCTATCCCAAAAGATGGATATAGACTAATGGAAAGCTTGTGTGGCATTCACCAGTTGAAATCCTAAATGACTTGCGAACTAATCGACAAAAAATTGTATGACCACTGGCTTTTCAAAATAATGAAATCCTAGAGTAAACCACTTAATTTTTATTTGACCGGGACCTTAAAATCACTATTTAGTAAATAGAGAAAAAATGTTGTGAACTGATTTCTGGTCAAAAGCAGCTGAGAAAATGGGAAGTAATTGCGAAAAATCATATCGTTTCACTTCCACCTTTAAAAAACAGTGCGATCAAGAATCGAAAACTGGAAGTACAACAGTTCAGTTTCATTTTGTGAAAACAATAACCATGCACATTCGTGCGCCAGTACCGGTTGCAGCCTCATGGCTGTTCGTTTGGATGAAGAAGCAGGATAAAAGCAGGAAAGCTGGAGTGGAGTGGTAAAGACAATCGGCAATTTCAGTAGACTAAGAAAGTGAGAAAAGGCATGGTCACCACTGTTTATGACAGTCAGCCAAACAATTCAACGTCTCTAGCCACTGGTTACCATGAAATCGAGGTCCACATCCAGAGTCCAACGCGACTTATATCATCGTGTCTTTTCGTTGGGTTTTCATACGCTCTTGCCAGGTCGTAGATCGGCTACCGTTGACCCTTTTCCATCCGTTGCCTGCCTCGGCAAACCTCGCGCGCCGTGGCCACCTACTTCGTGGTATGTTTATCCCGTATCCCAACCGAATTAATCCATGGAAGTCGACCACTAGTTATAGTGGACGACCGCGGTTACCTAAAACTCTGCGCACAAACCTCAGCATTCCTCGTCCGGCTGCACCGCCAGATTCGCGCAAAGCTGCGTAGACAACGGTGCTCTAAACACAGACAGTCTACCAATTCGTAATGGCTAAGATTTTGCCCCGCATAGCCGAGCTGCCGGAGCATACACTCGACCTTTCACAGACAGCCAGATGTTGCGACAGTGCAACAGATTTCTCATTACGCAGCCACCTGAAACGTGGATGAGAACAAATAAGCACAGTCCCGCCAGGACACAACCGTACGATGGATAATTCATCCGAGTCTCAAATTACCTGGTCGTAGATATTGCACATATTGTAAAACATTGGAATTCACAGTAAGGTAGAGTGGTGAAATACTGTTAGCAATTCTGAATGGCTCCCTAAGTTGACTTGCCATTGCTATTCTGTACCTAATAGTTTGTTATTGAGAAGAGTTCAGTTCAGGTTTTACAATTAACTATGCACTGGCCAGATCGCTCATGCCTCTCAAATCTGCTACTTGCACGTGAATGCTGGACCGAGGNAAGTTGACTTGCCATTGCTATTCTGTACCTAATAGTTTGTTATTGAGAAGAGTTCAGTTCAGGTTTTACAACAATTAACTATGCACTTTCGTGGGCCGGTTTTGGTTGCTGTCTTTAGGTTGCCTATTCGGAGAAAACAGCGGAATGATGATTAAAATGTTGACAGCGGATTCAATCGAAAGATAGCACATTGAGATGGACTGAAGTTACAAGAATAATGAGTAGATGCATGGACGCCACTGTTTGCGAAACCCAACCATCTCAATCAGTGTAACTAACCGTCAATGACCATGATCTTGAGGTTCCCAACCAGGGAGCCTAACGGGACCTATGTGACCCAGTCTCCTGGTTAGGGGTTTCATACCCTCATGCCAGGTCTTAGTTTGACCGCCCTTGATCTTTTCTCAACCGCTATCTGTCTGAACCATACAAGGGGAATCGAACGAGAGCATCGTGTTGCCCAAAATAAGGAAATGAAAATCAACAAATTCGCGTCCTTATTAACAATAAAAGAAAGGGCTGAATACACATAAGCAAAGAAAAACAAAAATGAATGAAGTACTTACAGTCCATTAGTAACCTCGATATTTTGATCACCGAAAGTGTAAGCTCCGTCGGGGAGGCCGTAAGCCGTATTCGCATCCGTAATTAGAACCACGTGTCCCGGAGCAATCGCTTCAGCCATACGCAATGCGGCTGGATGCACATGCACCAAATCAGCAATGATTCCCGCGTATAGGGGTGGATGATGATTAACCAGACCATCTAACAAATGCGATTTGCGATGATGGAAAAGGGGCATGGCGTTGAACAAATGTGTCATAAAAGTGGCTCCGGCTTGTATTGCATCATCCAGAGATTCGGCGTCAGCAACCGTATGCCCGACAGAGACTATAACATCCTGTGATACCAGAAACTCTATCGCTTTGGAGGAACCGGGCAGCTCAGGAGCCACTGTCACAATTCGAATCACTCCAAGGTTTGGACCATAGGTGTTCGTCAGATCCTAGTCACCAGAGTGAGGATGAAAAAATAGGACTTCTCACCTGCGCTGGATCCGGACCGAATTCCAATATGTGACTAGTTGGATGCATACCTGGACGAGATTTACTAATAAAAGGCCCCTCCAAATGCAAACCGAGCATCCTGGCTGCATCAGGGCTATCCTGATAGCTTTCGAACTGTGGAATGATTTTATCATAAGACTGTTTAGATGACGTAATAATGGTCGGACAGAATGAAGTCACACCCTCCTCTGGCAACGTTCGGGCAATTCGAGCACAACCCTCCCGTATGTTTGCATTCGGATTAGAGAAGTCGAANCCGGGTGCAATTACACTGCCGTTCAGCTCGATTCGTATGTCAGCCAAACGTTTCTCGCGAAAGAATAGATCTAAACCATCCAAAATGAGACCGTTACAAATCCAAAGATCTTCTTTGATTAGCCGATCTCCGCGTAAGATATAGCAGTCGGAAAACCGGATAAGTTTATCTGGTAAGTCCAGTTGTATGAGGGTCTCCATCGGTAATTGAGAAGTCGATTTTCCTACCCTCGACTTACCTCAAACAAGTGCAACGAATGAGTCAAATTTCGTTTTTGAGGCCTGAATCAGAAAGATCAGATCAGCGGAGGAAATGCACTCAAAACTAAGTAAAATCTACCAACAATATTCTGAGAACACGTTATTTTTACCCAGCAGCAATGATTCTCTTTCTAACCAAACAATGGGATAGAGAAAAAGTACATGACTGATTAGGGCTGAACTGTGAGACACAATAAATGGATGAAAACTGATCATTCGGTTGTCATCTTAGGGAAAGTTACATTTAAGTACAGTGTTCAGGAGTGTAGCAATTCTAGGTGAATAACCCCTGATATATTTATTTATTGTTTATCCTCACACACGCCTGCGTTCAGATTGTGTGTCACACAAATCACGATACAATAACCTTTACGAGAAAGATTTATGATTAGCTCGAGGGCACGATACTAACGCGCTGCCCTGGCCAAAGCGGGGGAATTTTCTTCGGCAGTTCACAACCGCAGCCTTCGGCTAGTCACAAAAAGGAAGGTGTGGGTGTGTTCTTCGTACGCCTCTTCTTGGTTAGTTTGGAATCAGGGTTTTTAGTCAACTTCTCTAGGTGAACTGCCAGGGGTTCACCGACCTGATTATAGCCTCGGATGTCAGCTTTTCGTCCTCTCACTTTAGTGGGAAAAAGCCGCGAGGACGCAGTGAATAGGGATTCCTCAGCAGAAGAAATTTGAGACGGTTGATCGTACGAGAGCATTTCGCAAGGTGCAAGAGAGGGCTTACCAGCCGCAACCCGAAACACCCAATCTGACCATGCTGAGGCCTTCGGAAGCACTCCCAGTATAGAAAAATCGGAACTTAGAGGATAAGTGGATCAGCGTCCATCTCAGCCTGTTCCACGTAATAAATGAACATCTACTTCAATAAAACTAAGTTGCCATTACGCAGCCACCTGAAACGTGGATGAGAACAAATAAGCACAGTCCCGCCAG